GAGAGAGAGAGAGAGAGAGAGAGAGAGAGAGAGAGAATACTTGAAAGGAGGAGAGGTTGTTGTTTGGGCTCCGGATTTCACAGTCATGGTTGGCTGGTTCCAAGGCAGAAACATCATAGCAGACTTGCTTCCTACTCTCAACCCATGGCATCTGAAGCAGAGAGCATGGAAGAGCCCAAGACTAAGGGACCAGGCTCAGATATGATCCCCGAAGCCATGTTCCTGTGCCCTACTTCCTCCAACTAGGCTACTTCCTAACAGCTATGAATGTGTCAGTGGGCTACCCATGGATGAGGTTAGTGTTCTCACAGTGCAATCCCTTATAATCCAGTCAAGTTGACAGTCAAGATTAACCAGCCCCATAGCTTTGTCAACAATAGTCCCAAACTGGAGATCCACCCACACTGGCCACACTGACCTCCTCCAGGCATGCCTGTACCTCAGGACCTTTCCACATACTCTTCTCTCTGTCTGGATCACTTCCTTCTTCGATATTTTCATGACTTTTTCTGCCTACCTCTTTCAGATTTTACCAACAATGGATCCTCCTTCATGAGGACTTCTTTAGCAACTCTCACTAAAACAGACTGTTCCCTTCACCCCTAAACACTCACCCATTCCTTTTCTCCATCCTGGCTTGACTCCTCCCTTAGCACCATTGCCATTTAGTATACTCTGTGGTTTGTCTGCTAATGTCTTCCTCCAACTTCCTTCTTCAAACCCAAGCTCTGTTACGGTTTGGACATCTGTGCTCCACAAGGCTCATTGCGTTGAACACTTGGCTGTGGATGGGCTTGAGGAAATGAAGGGATCATGAGGGTTCTGTGAGGCCATCATTTGATAGTGTGACCTGGAGGCTATGCAGACAGGAGGCAGGGCTTAGCTGAGAAAGTCGATCATGGGGATGCGACCTTGGGGATTGTACTGGCCCTCTGATCCTCTCATGCTTCACCTTCCCCTCTGCTTCCGGGCTGCCATGGGTTGAGCAGATTTTCTCTACTATACTTTCCACTGTGATGTTTCTGCCTTGGAGCTGGCGACCATGGACTGAAGCCCCTGAAACTGTAAACAGTGACTCCTCCTCTCACTTTCTCAGGTCTTCAGTCACAGAAATGAAGAGCACACACGTCCTCCCCAGCCACTGTGCCCTCAACATGTACGGTGGTCCTGACGTGCAGTAGTAAGTGTTTAACCAACATTTTATCAAATTAATCTTAGGGTAGGTTGGGAAATTTGTGAAAATTCTGAACAAAGAAGTGCAACTCCTTTTCTGAATAAAAAAATTTATATTGACGTGAAATTCACACAAGAGCGAACCATTTATAATTACATAACCTACTTGCATTTAATCCATTTGCCTTGTTATGCAGCTATCACTGCTATTTGTTTCTAAAACATTTTCATCAAAAGGGGACCGTGTTCCCTATGAAGTGTTCACTCCAACTCTCTCCTCCCCACAGCCTCAGGCCACCAATAACCTGCTCTCTACAGCTGTTCATTCACCTATTCTGAAGATTTCGTGCAAATGTTATACATTGCTGTGTAACAGGGGATCGCTGGTGTCTGGCTTGTTTCACTCAGCATGTTCTCAGGGTTCATCCCCAGGGTAGCAGTTGCAGAACTCCATTCCTTTTTCATGGTTTGAATAATATTTTGCATCCTACAGAGAAGACACATTTACCCCTCCATCAGTTGGTGGACAGAATGTTGGGCTGTTTCTGCCTTTCCACTATTGCAAATGTTTGGGTGAACATTTCTGTGCAACTGTTTCTTTGAATGTCTGTTGTCCTTTAGATCTGAAAGAGGCCCCAGATTTCCCATGTGTAGAACGGATGGGATTGTGAGGCCCCCATAGCTGCACGCTCTGGCTGGCGCTGGTCACTGGGGTGCCGTGACCCGGAAGGGTGAGCTCTGGTTCCCACTCCTCCCTCCCTGCTCTCTCTACTTCCTGGCCACCATGAGGCGGGCACGTTTTCCTTCCCGGTGCCATTTTTGCCTCGGAGCTGCAGACCACGAACTGAACCCACAAGTTAAATAAACCTCTTGTAAGTTGTGGATGTTGCCTGTTTTGTCCCATTGATGAGAACGTGACTAAGACACCCGTTTTCAATATTTTCTGGGCAATCTTTTTTTTTTTTTTTTTTTTGAGGTGCTGGGGATTGAACTCAAGGTCTTTGCACTGTTCTGCATCCTCATCCCTTTTTAAATTGTTTATTTTGAGACAGGGTCTCGCTAAATTGCCCAGGCTGGGCTCAAACTTGAGATTCTTCTGCCTCAGCCTCCTAGAGTGCCGGGATGACAGGAGTGTGCCCCCCCCCCAACTCGGAAATCCTGTCTTAATACTGATTTCCCAAAGTCGCGCCGATTCTGTAACATTTAATTAAAAGCGAGCCTCCTGTGGAGTTGGAGCACCAGGCGAGGGCACGGCACCAGCTACTGCTCTGCTGCGCTAACCTGTTCCCTGAGGGGGGGGGCTCCCCATTCACCCAAGGGGACCGTGGAAACCTGGAGACTGGGGTGCTAGGGTATCAAATGACTGTGCCCTTTACCCTGACCGAATGTCTCCTCTGGGATGATTTGAAGAATGATTATCCTTTTTTTCTTTTCGTTGTCTCTCTCTCTTTTTTTTTTTTTTGGTACCGGGGATCGAACGCGGGACCTTGCGCTTGCGAAGCAGACGGTGGAACCACTGAGCTAAATCCCCAGCCCTGAGGGATGATTATCTTAACTATATGCCGAATATTTCCCCAACCTGGGTGTCCCTGGGCAAATCACTTCATCTCCTGTCCCCAGGCAGAACTCAGCACGCCTCAGGCAGGGTGTGGTGGCACACACCTGAAATCCCAGCACTCTGGGAGGCTGAGGCAGGAGGATCTCTAATTCTAGCAGAGCTTGGGCAACTTAGTGAGACTCTGTCTGGAAATAAAAACGGCTGGGGATGTGGCGCTGCGTGAAGGCTCTAGGTTCACTCACCAGCCCCCGAAATAAAGGCCCCGGAGCGGCGCGGCGGTCCGCAAGGCACAGGCGGGCTGGGTGGTGCCTGAGCCCGCAGGGCGTGGCCAGCGCTCTCGGAGTTCCATGCCAAGGCCACCTGCGGAGGCAGCGCGCGCTTCCTGTCGCTGCACGATGCAGACACCAGAGGGCGCCGCGAGAACAACTTTGAGCCGCGCGCCGGAGCCGGCGGGAGGCGGGGAGGGAAAGCGGCGGGGCTGGGGGCTGCGACGGCTGCGGTGCGCGGGCTGAGCAAGAATCCGGCAGACCCGGGAGAGCCGGCAGACCCGCTGTGGCCTCCCCTTCCCGCGCCCCGCCCATCGCTCCTTTCTTCCCTCCCTCCCTCCTACGGGACGTGAAAAGTTCTGCTCCATTTTGTCTGCTGCCTCCACGTTTGAATGGGTGGCATGTGCCTTTCCTCCCTCCTCCTTTTCTTTTTCCGCTGTCTGTACTAGAAGCTGTACTCAGGGTCTTTGCACAGAGCTACATCCCCAGTCATTTCGAGACAGGATATTGCCATGTCACTAAGGTGCCCATGCCGACCTCCAATTTGAGATCCTCCTGTCTCAGCCTCCCAGAGTGCTAGGATTACAGGCGTGCACCACCATGCGCAAGCTAGGTAACGTCTTTTCTCTTGAAGTCCTCACTCTTTAATATGCCTTAAACCCTGCACGTGAGTGTACTGTAGTCATCCACATAAGCACCAAGTTGCCACTCATTTCGGGGTGGCCTGGCACTGGCAGCAGGCAGGGAGCCTCCGGGGTCTGGGGTGCGATGTGCAGAGACGCCGGGCCTCTGCCTCAGGGCAGCATGGTGGGCGCCTATCGCCCTGCTGTCCTGCGGTCCTGGGCCCGGATCCGGCCGGCCCTGGGCTCAGAACCCACGCCGGACCCCGTCCTGACGTCTGGAGATTCCGGGCTGGGTCCGACCTGTCTGACCCGGCAGGGCGCCCCGAAAGCCTCGAGGGGCATGGCAGGGGCAGCGAGGGGTCCTCGTCCCACCCACACCCCCCGGAGCCTGGGGAAGGAGCTGGCTGGCTCCGCTCAGGTCTGTGGCCCCGAGCCTAGGAACCCACCCGAGGGGCTGGGGCCACAGGGCCCACTCACAGCTTCGCCACTCGCAAGGGCTGAATGGTTGACCCCCCACCACCACCACCATTCAGATGCTGGACCCTAACTCCTCAGAGCGGTGGTACCTGGAGGTGAGGCCTTGGAGAGGTGATTAGGCCTTGAGGGCATCCTTAGGAATAGATTAGAGCTCTGCTTCTCTTCCTACCATGCGAGGACACCATGAAAAGGGGCCATCTGCAAAGCCAGAGGCACTGTGCTCAATCAATCGCAGAGTATCCACTTGCACTGATTAAGAACGCCCTGCAGGTTGGTAGACCCCAGTTCTGTGTGTCTGTGGATGACTGACAGGGAGGCCAGCAAATTGAAGGAGGAAGACCCAGGCGGATGTGGGGGCACCGACCAATAGGCTACAGCCTGGGTGGAATAAAAAAGGAAAGAAGAAGGAAGTGCCTCCATTTTGGAAGAGCTCCAGCCTCTGCCACGGCCTGTGGGTGTCGGTAGTCAAGGGGTTTATTCCGCCTTGCCTTCCAGAAAGCTTCCTGGCTTTCGACCTCGGACCGGACCAGGTGTGTATCCTTGATCTCTCTTGTCCTTCGGCTTCCATTTTCTTGGGCTCAGCGGCTACTGTACTCTCCAGCTCCCCAGTCTGCAGACGCCCACTGTGGACTCTGTCTCTGGTGCTGTGATCCTGCTTAGTAAACCCCCTCGCACAATCATCCATACGTTTTCCCCTGATTCTGACACGGGTCCTCCCGCAGCTTGATTTTGCACGTCCGGCCTAACCAACTGTGAGAAACCAGTGTTTGTTGTGTAAGTCACCAGTCTATGGTAATTTGTCTTTGCCGCCAGCTCCACACCAATGGCTCGTGGGCCACTCGCACGGTGGGGTGGGAAGGGAGGACCTAGAGGGCAGGAGCCTCTCTTGTGGCTTGTCAGGTCCTGTGGACACAGAGCCCAAGGCCTGGAGCTGTTGGAAGCCTTGCAGTAAAGAGATGAGAGGGGCCACAAAACTGAAATGCAGTGGGACGCCCAGGCCAAGTCGTATCCCTGAGAGTCACAGCGCCACCGATGAGGTGTTCTACTCGTATGAACCTGGGCTAGGTACTCTTCTCCTTGCAGAGACAAAATACTTGACACCCAAAGTTAAAGAAGGAAAGGTTTGTTTAGTTTACAGTTGGTGGAGGTTTTGGTCCATAATCAACTGGCTCCAAGGCAGGGTGGCACATGGCAAAGTGGGGGAGACAGCAAAAGCAACAAGGGACCCTAACAGCGTCTTTTTGTCCCTTTTATCTTCTTCAGACTCCTTAGGGTGGGCAGCACGCACACCCTTAATCCCAGTGAATCAGTCACACTCTAGATCCAGCCACCTCTCCCAAAGCCCCACCTACGACTGCATGAGGCTTTGGGGGCCTCTAGACACAGCCATAACAGCAACCCCTTACTGGTTGGAAATTTTTGGTTTAATCTTTCTTGCTTTGCAAAAATTTCTGGATATGGATAGTGATACTGAGAAATCCAAGCTTTCAAAAATAAACAGTAAAAATTATCTTTCCCCTCGGAGGTGGGAGGCTGCAGTGTGTTTGGAATGTTGGGCGAGTGTCTTAGAAAGTCAGGAGCTGGAGTTGGAGCTCAGGCCCCAGCAGCCCGGGATGGAGCTACAGGGAAGGCGTAGACGCGGCCGGCCCCCGGGTGCAGTTTCTCACAAGAGGAGGGATGGGAAACTACAGAACTGTGCTCTCTCAAAGTTCCGGAGAACAGAATTCCCAATCGAGGTGTTAGCAGGGCCACGCTCCCTCTGGGACACCAGTGGAACCGATCCTGGCCTCATCCAGCTTGTGGGTGTGGCCGGCCATCCCGGTCACTCCTTGGCTTGCAGCTGCATTGGTCCTCATCCTGGTTGGTGTTCCAGCTGGGACCTCTCTTCTGTCCTAAAACGACACCAGTCACGTTGGAGTGGGGCCTGCATTACTCCAATTACTCATCTTAATTTACATCTTATAAAGAAAATGTGGTATTTACACAAAAGGAAGTACTACTTGGCCAGAAAGAAGGATAGATTGGAGTCATTTGTGGGAAAATGGTTGCACGTTGAGACCATAAATCAGATATGCAAGTACAGGTATCACATGGTTTCTCTTATATGAGAAACCCAAAGTAGAAATAATTTAAAGAGAAAAAGAAAAGATAGATGGTTCCAAATACTGAGATGGATCCTCTGCAAATGGGAGGGGAAGTAGAGGTGGAGGGAAGGGGGAAAGACGGAAGAGGAAGTAAAAAGATGTAAGATGTGTGATGTACATGTACCAACATCTCAGGATCAATGTGGTCATTATGCACAGCAGACATGGACTAATAAACACAAAAAAGTTTTAAAAACTACATCCTAATGACGTCTGCAAAGACATTGTTTTTGAATAGTGTTGAGTTCTCAGGTGCCAGAGTTAGACTTCCGGTCACAGCCGGTCTCGAGGGAGAGAGGGGCAGAGGGGGAGCGGCTGGAGGATGGGGCGCGGCCCCTGAGCTGGGGAATCCCAGGTAGCGGGAGAGAGGGGCGCTGTGCTCCACTTTGGACACGCTGTGAGCAGCCCTGGGTTCTTTGGGCTGCGCCATTTCAGGAGGTGGCTGGAAGCCCGGGAACTGGATCTCAAGGGAAGGAAAGACAAGCAGCCTGGAGAGGAGCCTGCAGAGCAAAAGTGGTCTTCTGCCACCAGGGGGCGCTCTGCACCAGCCCATCTGAAATCTTTCCCAAGGAGGTCGGTGGAGAAACTTGATGTTTCTGATGTTTCCCTATACATTTCCGGTAGTAACAGGCTGGTGCTCAGTAAGTGCACCTGTGAGGATGGGTGACTGACTCAACCACCCTAGGGAGTTATAGGAAAGCTGCTCCTTTAGGACTGATTTCCAAATGAGCACTGGCTGTGGAGTTAAGAAGAGGAGAGAAATTTAGGCGAATTAGGGAAGAAACTCTTAGAGAAGCGGAGGACGGCTTTGCCCTGTGGGGGAACGCGAGGGTCTCAGTGTGTACTTTGGATCCCTAACAAGATGGTGGACACACACAGGGAGACGTCCTCCTCCAGCCCTTCAGAAATCAGAAGGACGAGGTTAATGCATTCCAAAATGCAGCATAAAACCAGAAAGACCTCTCAGGATGAAGATTCGGGGCTGCTGTGAGCCTGTGACCCCAAATGATTTCTTGGAGCAGAGCTCCCCAAGCTTGTGCGCTATTGTTGACCTGAAACTGTCCCAGACAATTATGTGTGAGAGAGAGAGAAACTATGGTCTCAGCCACTTGTTACCTGTCTTGAGTCCAACCATTACAGAGCTAAGCCTACCTGTGTAATCAAGACTCCAACTCATAAGTCAAAATGAATTTCTGTTTAACAAAATCCTCAAAGAGGGACTTAACAGATGGGTGACAGGTTGGAAAAGATGTTTATAACATCTGCAACTAATAAGGGATCAATAGCTGTTCTAGGTAAGAAATTCCTATAGAGCAACAGCAATAGCAACAACAAAACCAAAAACTTATTGAAATCCGAGTGAGAAGTGAGCAAAGAATTCATTGAGGTGGAAATACAAGCAGCTAATATGAGCATGAGGAAGTGCTCAGCATCAGTAGTGATCAGAAAACTTGAAATTATAGGAATATGGAGACGCGACTCATCGAAATCAGATCTGGCAGCTTTGGAAAAGTAGCTGAGGCCGTGTGTTGGGGGGGATGGAGGAATTGGCGACAGCAACAGCCACGTGTCCAGAGGGGTGCATAGGTGCGGCTGCCAGGGGCTGCTGCCTGGTGGGCTGGATGGAATTAAGGGCAGAGAGGTGGGGCGGGGCTGTGGCTCAGTGGGAGATCACTTGCCTAGTGTGCAGGAAGGCTTTGTTTGATCTGCAGCAGGACAAAAACGAAAGAAGGAGGGAAGGAGCCTGGTGTGGTGGCACATGCCTGTGATCCCAGCACTTGGGAGGCTGAGGCAGGAGAATCACCATGAGGCCAGCCTGGGGTACATAGTGAGCTCAAGGCCATCCTGAACTACATTATTGAGATCCTGTCTCAAAAAAAAAAAAACAAAAAAGGAAGGAGGAAGGAAGACAGGAAAGAAGGGAGAGAGGGAGAATAGGGAGGCTCCATCCAGTGATCCTCTTGCCACACTCACTTGGAGACCCATGGAAGGAGTCATTACTGAGGTGTTAGTGGCTGCAGGGAGGTGGAGTGCGCCAGCGCCCCCTGCTGGAACACTAATATGCAACACAGAAATGATAAACTAAAGCCAACTAAAAGCAGTGTTGAGTTAAACATTGCAAGAAACAAAATGATATGCACAGCACCCTGCCCTTTATGTATATTGAAGGCAACTGGGCACACCAAGCAGCACCGCACACACATCCACCCCTCACGAGTGCACATGTGTGAACATAGACCCATGCACATATTAAGCCCGTCCCAATGGCTGCTTCCAATGGTGAGCCCAGGAGGCCGGGAGGAGAGAGCGAAGAGATCCTTAAGTGAGGTCAGAACAACTGAGTGCTACAAGCCGAACACTCAGCTTCCTGTGCCAAGTTCTCAGGGAAGAGAGAGCCCAGCCCCTGGGGGTCACAGGATGCTTCGCCCATGGCTCCCTCGGGTTCAGTGATCTACTAGGGGTGTGAACACTCAGCCTAGTCTCCTCGCTTCTAATGTAAGTCATCTCAGTTGTGGGGCCTCCCACAGGGAACCCTTCCACCTCTCGGGGTTAGGGTCAGGCTCAGGACCTGGGCCTCCGCGTGCCCGCCCCCAGGGGAAAAAGGATATTGATGATTTCACAGAGCAGGGGGCCCTGCCAAGGAGGAGCGTTGGGGTCAGTGATGGGACTCATTTTGGGGTGAAGCGGACAAGCCGAGTGACCTCTAACCCCACAGCCAGCTGTCCGCCTGTCCTGGGTGGGTGGGTGGCTGTCACTCTGGGGGAAGTAGAGACTCCTTTTCCCTTCTTGTCTTGCAAGGCCGGTTTGCCTTCCCAGCAACACTGGCTCAGGGTTCAGCCTGAGAGAGAAGGAGGTCTTTCTAGTTCAGGACAGGTTCAAGAACAACTAAGGGCTTGCTATGAATGTAACGTGGAGGAGATGGTTCGAGATGAGCTTGTGCAACAGGCTGGAGCCAAATTAGATGAGAACCTTGGATTTTTTTCCCTAGCAGTTGAAAGGCAAGATGGTGAACTCTGTTTTTATGGAGATTAAGCATCAGCTAATGGCTGTGTTGGGAAGACCATGGACCACTCAGCGCTTCGCTGTTTCCCTACAAGCAGCAATTCTAGCAGGGTCGTGGCAGGTCGTATTTTCCATCAATGTCCTATCTTTGGCATTCCTCCCACCAAGACTTAGGAATCAGACTTGGGTGTGGTGGTGCACACCTATAATCCCAGCACTGAGGGAGGCTGAGGCAGGAGGATTGATTGCAAGTTTGAGTCCTGCCTGGGTGACAGTGAGACCTGGTCTCATAAACAAAAACAAACAAGGGTTGGGGATGTAGCTCAGTAGTAGAGCAGCTGTGTTCGATCCCCAGTATGGCATAAAAAACAGTTTGGGATCTGTGTTCCCTGCCCTTATATCTGGGCACTATGCCTGTGACAGAAATGTCACTTTGTGACTTCTGGGCCAGGGATTTAGCTCAGTGGTTCCGACGCCTGCCTTGCAAGCGCAAGGTCCCGAGTTCAATCCCTGATACCAAAAACAAAAAAAAAACAACAAAAAAGAATATTACTATGTGACTTCTGAGCTTGGGTCATCAAAGGTGGTAGTTTTTGCCTGGTTCACTTGGGATGCTTGCTCCTCACACCCAGCCACCTAAACACACTCAGCTGATAGGCAGCTCCATTGCTGGACGAGTGTGTGCACAAGTGCTCCCATGACTCCAGTCCTTGCCCCTGGGGTCCAGTGAACACACAGATCTCGCAGTGGAGACACCACCCAGTCCCATGGTGTCCTCTCTACAGTCCTGCTCCACTGAGACTAGGCCCAGAATGGCATGGTTATTGTCCAGTGCCCCTAAATTTGGAGTGGTATGTTATGCAGGAATAGACAACCAGGACAGGAGGCTGCTGGACCAGCAGAGGAGAGACGAGGAAGACAGCAGCGGCCCTGAGGAGGAACAGGATGCTGAGACTCCATGGGGGCGGGAGCTGGGTGACTGGAGATCTGGACATGAGGAGGGCATGGATGATTGGCAGATAATGTGCTACTGACCAAAGGAAGGGAGAGTAGCAAAAACGGTCCTTTGGCTTTGGACATGCTGCTTGTGGGTGTGGGCAGAGTGGAAGTTTGGGAACTGATGTGTGTTTTTAGAGTCCTGAGAGGGAGAGGCTCACCAAGGAAAGACTGTCAGAGTTTGGAAGAAGAGAAAGACTCAGCATACTAAAGAAACGGAGAAGAGGAGACACAGTCATAGAAGGTCCGTGGGGGGACAGAGAGAGGGGTCAACGATGTCCCTGGTGCCCGGGGAAGCGGGAGAGGAGCAAGAGGGAGGACCACCGTTGGTGTTGACCATGGAGAGGATCTGTTTGGCTTCAAGTTATTTAACAGCATCTCAGATTTAAATCATGAACCTGGACTTCTTGCTATTACTGTTGTTCAGCACCAGCTGGAAGCCAGAGGTTGGGCTAGATAGGCCATGGGGTCTTGGGTACTTTTTATTGTAGAACACATTTTGCATAGTTTTTGGTTTTTATTCTCGTAACAGCCGTGGAAGTTGGGTGTCCTTACTGATGAGGAATCCAGGGCCCTGAGGTTACATAGCCGGTCAGTGCTGCAGCCAGGCTTTGAATCCAGCTCTCACTAGTACCCAAGCTCTCCCAAGTGTCTTGTTTTTCTCTTGCATTTCAGTCTTCTTGTCTTCCCTAAGTTTGCAACCCTTGGCACACACATATTTTCTCATCTGCAAAGTGAGGAAAACAACAGTACGTGCCTCCAAGAATTGCTGCTGGGATTAGATTAGGCGATTCATGAACAGCACTCGACACAGCACCTGGCGAAGAATCGGTATCAGTGCCTGTTGTCTGCTCTGATCCCTGCTGTAATTCATAGCAGGCTTCCTCACCCAGGCAGGAAAGGCTGCAAACAGCTCGGCTCAGCCCTCCAGCTGCTGGGCCCAGGCCCCTCTCCCTGCCTGCCAGGTCCTGGGGGCACCGAGTCATCTGTGGACGGTTTGCTCCCGTGGACCCTTACCTGTGGCATGTTTAATGCCCAGTTACAGACGAGGAAACTGAGGCCCAGGTCGCTGCGGTAACCTCCCCGAGGTTACTGGGGTTATGAATGGTGGGTCCAGACTCCATACATCTGTGGTCAGATCTGGAGCCGATGATCTTAACCATGACGTTGGCCTGGCCCCGAGGGAACCTTTCCGGAGCCCTCTCCAGGCAGCACTGGCCCCTACGGAAGGTCAGGGTCTCGGCCTCGAAGCCTCAGTTTCTTCAGACAAGATGCACAACACCTGCTGACATTCCAGCAAGAGTGTCCCCTGGTGTTTGCCAATCTGTTCCCAAAGCCTCCCCATCTCTGCAGAGTGAAGATTCGGAGCAGGAACCAAACGACGACTCCACGCTCAGAAGCCTTTCCACAACCTCAGTTTTGTTCTCTGTGGACTCTTGTAACCCCGTGAGACATGTATGGATTTGGTAAATTTGCCCAAATCCCGGATGCAATTCCATGTGAGGAGGGGTTTTTCTGGTTACGTCCCAGGCCAGCTCAGCCCTTGCTTCCTGCTTTCGGGGGTTGACCAGGTTCCTTCTGTGTCCAAAGGCTGCCGCGTGGAGGCTCTTTCCTCAGGTTCTGTGACGAGGACAGTGAGGACATCCTCTGTGGCATTCGTGAGTGACACAGATGTGGTCTGTTTTTGTGGTGTGGGGCTGGAATGCTAGGTAAGCAATCCACCTTGGAGCTGCACCCCCAGACCTGACTCAGTCAGGTCTCAGGGCTCCTGGCTCGGTGTGACATCTCCCAGCTCCGTGTCCTTTCCATAATCTCTTTAAAAATCTGAAAACATTCTTACATCTTTTATCTGTGAAAATGCATATGTTAATTGCAATTGCCTCTGACTCTTAGGTTTTCACACATGGAACTGCGTTTGAAAGCTAGATTGTTAGAGGAGGAGAGAGCTTTTGGAAGTCATTACTCACATCACACAACTGCAATCACTCTTCATTAACCGTATTTTTCACCTTTCAAAGGCCCAAAACATCAGCCTTGAAATGTGAGAACGCAAAAGAAGAAACACAACCTGAAACCGTAGCCTCATTCTGAAGAGAGTTGGCATTGTTTTGGGTGACATTTGCTGCTGTGTCATCCCAGAAAATAGCCTTTTTAGCTCTTAAAAGGGAGGTTTGTGACATATGCCTGTAATCTCAGTACTTTGGGAGGCTGAGGCAGGAGGATTGTAAGTTGGATGGAGCCCAGCCTGGGTAACTTAGCGAGACTCTGTGTCAAGATTAAAAATAAAAGGTGCTGGAGATGGAGCTCAGTGCAAAGGCCCTGGGTTCAGTCCCTGGTACCCCACATATACACACAAAAGAGGAGAATTAGATAACATCTAAACTTACTATTTTTGAAAAAGAGACCCCCAGAGTTCTTTTAAAAGAGGATAAATTTGGGTGTTCCTGTAATATTTCAGTTCTGAGGCTCATGGTGGAGGAAAAAGCATCAAATCTGGGGCCAAGGTCACCCGAAGGGTAGCGATGAGATTCCAGCTGCATTTTATGGACTTTTCCAAGGATGATGCTTCTCTAATTTCACAGGGCGTGTGAACACCTGGAGGTCTTCCTAAAATCCAGGTTCTGGTAGTCAATGGCTCTGGGTTGGGTCTTCGATTCTGCATTTTTAACAAATCACCAGTACAGAGTTGCTTGCATGGGCAGCCCCTGAGCACGGCGGCTGGGTATTTACATGGTGTTTTGACTTTACCATGGTGCAAAAGTAATGTCCATTCAGTAGAAAGTGTGCTTTGAGCTTTGATCTTTCCCAGACTCTCGATCTTCCCCCGATCCTGAACAGGACCAGCAAGCTGCAGGCTCCGTCACCCACTCGATCAACCAGCTCTCCTACAGCATGCTGTGTTGCTGTGATGTCCAGCCAGTTAGGTGTACAAAGCACATTTTCAGCTTAACAGTATTTTTGATTTGCAGTGGACTCATTGGGAGCGGGACCCGTTGTCAGATGAGGACCGTCAGTACAGGCAATTGCATGTGCCGGGGTCGGGGTTAGGAAACTAAGGAAGGCTTGGTGGCTGGTGTCTGCCTGTGAGGAGCACACTGATGGAAAATCTAATCCTGCCTTGGAACCAGGTGTCCGCTCGGTGCTACCCCAGTGGCTGGGCTCCTTGGGAAGGCACCTCCCCAGCATCACACTCAGATTCCCAGGACACAGTCCTGCCTTCGTGTTGGTCCCCACGAACTGATACTGTCCTTGGGTGCTTTGCCTTCAACACCCAATGTGGCATCCCTGATCCTGCACATGTTGCCCCTCTCCCAGCCATCCGTCATTTGGGTGTCTGTCAGGGACAGAAGATAGAGTTATTGGAAGTTATTGGAGTTATTGGAAAACCATACTTGTTGATTTAAAAAAAAAATTCTGTTTGTGCTTTCTTTTGTTTGTTGTTTTTTTTGTACTGGGGATCGAACTCAGGACCTTGCGCTTTCGAGGCAGGCGGCGGAACCACTGAGCTAAATCCCTGGCCTTGTTTGTGCTTTTTAATTACATCTAAACTGAATGTTGCCCAGATGGATTCCTTGGCTTCTTTTAATAAATAAACAAGTATTGGGCTGGGGATTTAGCTCAGTGCTGCTGTTGCCAGCCTCAGAAGTGCAAGGTCCTGAGTTCTATCCGCAGTACCGAAAAAAAACCCCAAACCAAACCAAGTATTAATTGATTAGTTCCATAAGTATTTATTGAGTACCTACTATGGCTCGGACTTTGCCAAGTGCTGAGTAAACAGGGAACAAATTGGACATAGCCTCTATAAGGTGTTGTCTGATGTGAGAAACAGGCAGTAAACAAACATTTGCACAAATAGTAAATAAATGCAAAAAGATCTAACAGAGAGGGGGAGGCAGATCTGAGGAGTGAAGGCTGTGGGATAAGGGGCATTAAGCTCGACCCACAGGATGTGTGGAAGTCTGAGGGTCCCAGCTCTGCCTGAAGTCCTTCAGCCACTGTGATGGACCGACTTTTGCCCCCCCTCCAATTTCATATGTTGATGTTCCAACACCCAAATGTGACTAAATATGGAGATGTGACCTGTAAGATATAATTAAGGTTAAATGGGAGCATAAGGCTATGTCCTTATTTAACGGGACTGGCGTCCTCTAATAAAATGAAATTTGATCACAGACTTGCTGCACACAGAAGAAAAACTATCCGAGGACACAGCAAAAAAAAGAGACTTCTGCAAGCCACGCTGAGAGACCTCGAAAGGATCCTAATCTCCCAACAGTTCACCTTGGACTTCTAGCCCCAGAACTTCGAGAAGATAAATTTTTGTGGATTAAGCTCCCAGGGTATGGCATTTTGTTACAGCAGCACAACCTGACTAATACAGCCTCTTACAACTTCAAGAACACAAGCATGGTGTCAGTTTCACAGAGCAAAAGTTGCTTGGGCCACACAGGCTGCCCAAATCAGCGCCTCAAATGTGTATGCCTGCTGTGCTCACCTGGATGTTCCCAAGGGAGGAGACAGTTTAGAAACAAGTGTGTTTTGCTTTTCTCTTAAGAAAAGGACTTCGTGGTGTGATAGAGGAGGTGCTAGAGGTCCCATAAATCCAGGTTCCTCAGAAGCATCATTCTGACAGGTGACCTTGAACACATCACTTAAACTCTAGACCATCCTCAGCCTTGTCTGTAGCATGAATTTAAACTCAAACCAATGTGTGGTTCACACAATGCATTTCCTTATCACACCCAGGTTTCCTTCTGTGTACATGTGACATCTTTGAGCACCCGGCATCATTTCCCTGTTCACCTTCAGGGACCACCCCGGACTCTCCTGTTGGGTTGTCCTGGCCATGTTCTTGAGAGCCACAAGGGGGCTGACATTGACCCTCTCAGTTTGAGGAGCACCAAGGGCAGATGCTGGGCTGGTTGCGCTTGCACTTTGGTCACAGTGCCAGTAAATATCGCCAGAGAGCACAAAGTCAGTCCACTGTTGAGAGAACATGGTTCTAGACATTGCACTAAGTTGCAGCATGAACCTAGAAAGTCACTTAAATTGCCTAGAAACTGAGGTCTACAGAAGTCCAAAGTACAGGCTCAGGAGCCTGGCTGAAAAGCACAAGATGGTTTGCATCCAGAAGCTGGGGTTCACATACTTTTGTGCCCACCAGAGTCCCCTGGAAAGCTTGTTAATTACAGATGTCTGAGCTCAACCTCCAGAGCTTCTGCTTTGGTAGATCTGGGATGGGAGCCTGGAAATGGGTGTTTCTCACAACTCTCTGGGTGGTGCTGGACTTGTCACACTTTCAGAAGCAGTGTGCTGGGTTTAGTACACCAGGCACCCTCAATCTCCATGGAGATGGCCCCAGCTCCAGGAAGGGAGAAAAACAGAGAAGTGGGGGGGGGGGAGAGGGAGGGAGGGGGGGGGGGGAGAGAGAGAGAGAGAGAGAGAGGGAGAGAAAGATACCTTCCTGCCCAGAGGATGTGACAGGGAAGGCCAGGGCTATTGAGAACAGAGAGACTCAACTATCCTGAGCAAGATGGGACAAGGCTACTGTACTAGTTAGGGTCCTGTGGAGGAACACAGTCAATACAAAATAGATGTATAATTACACAGAGGGACATACTAGCTAGGCAGGATCAGAAGGCGAAGGGTCACAGTGGCCATTGGGGGGGCCGGGAAATGAGGAGTAGAAGAATCCAAAATGGCTGCCGGTGAGCTGGAGAGCCAGAGAATCGAAGTGATACTGTATGTGTCGTGAACGTGCTTAAAAAGAAAAGGAAGGCCCGGCAGCTCTCTGCAGTCACTGGTTTCTCACAGTTCTGGAGGCTGGAAGTCCAAGATCAAAGTGGTGGCAGCCTTGATGTCTGGAGAGGGTTCAGTCTGCTTCCAAGATGACACCTTGTTGTTCTGGAAGGGACAAACACTCTGTCCTCACATGGCAGGAGGGATGGAGGGGCAAAAGGGAAGAGCAGGTCCCTTGCATTTCTCTTACAAGATCGTCAGTCTCATTTGTGAGGTGGGAGTCCTTGTGGTCTAGTCATCTCCTAAAGACTTTGGGTGTAGGTTCTATCAAGTGAATATTGGAGAGGAAACACATTCAAACTGTATGGGGACATGGAGAGGTCCCTTTGGCACAGTCCTCTTTATGTTTGAGTCAGGGAGGGTAGCAGTGACTACCACATAGAGGGGACATCTGCTCTCCCCACTCCAGTGCAGGCACCAGGTCAGGATGATGGGGTGGGGTTGTGGGGAGAGACATACATTTGTTGGTGCCTGTCTCAGGGATTGAAGAGGAATTGGGAACACAGATCTCTATGGCTTTTAAAAAGAATACGAAATTACTGTCTTAAAATGAACAAGACTGAGTCTTACAAGCTGAAATGAAGTTTTTTCAAGGTCTCAGCTTACTTGTATAGTGGAGGCATCATGATGGGCCTCCAGGAGACAGAGTGTCCCCAGCACAGTCCATGGGAAAATGAGATCTTTTCATGATCATATGCCAAACAGTCAAGACTTCATAAACTTCTCAAGTTCATTTTGCCTGTATTACCTGGGGTCTTATCTTTGTTGAACTACCCGGGGAGGATACTCAGCTGCTGAAGCCGATTCCTTCTCTTGCAGGCTGCACAGCTAACCCCCCAGTATTCCTCCCTCCGTGGACTTTAATCCAGTGCTTTTGGTTATTTTGGGTTGTTCTGAGCAAGCAGTTCCACTCTTCTGTGATCCTGTCCACTTTTTGTCTCAAATTCCTTAGCATTAAAACCAATTATTCAGTAAATGTAGTATTAAAATGCAAGAACTTGTGTTTTCTTAACAAATGAAATTTACAGTCTCCATGGGAACGATTATCATCAAATACTTAATGACTTTATAAAAAGAAAATGAAGCCAAATGCATGTATAGAAGACACAATAATAAATTAGCTAGCTAGAAGGCTACAGCTTCAAACACATCCAGCAAGACTTTCATTAGGCAGGAATGATAACTAGATGTCTTTACTCAACAGAAATTTTATTTGAGTCCTGTACTCTTTTGAGATGGGAAAAATAATGTGGAAGCAAGTGCAAATGAAAATGCCTCTTATAAAGTAACTTCCAGGAGTTATCTTAGGATGCAACCCAGTCTCTCCAGTGTTCTTCATCTGCAATAAAAATTAGTCCGGGTGGTAAGAGTACAGAAAGAACAGTTCACTTGGAGACCTGAATTCTAGTCTCCACCCTCTTTGACACATGATTATGGCAAATGCCTCTCTATCACACCCTACTCCTCGATTTCCCCAAGAATAAAGTGAAGTGATGGAGCAGGATGGCATCTTTCCATATAATATCCTGGAATTCTAAGACACTGAGTGCAAAATTAAATGATAACTTCTTGGGAAATTGGCTGATTCTAGGAAAAGGGCATGAATACTGTTGTCCCTCCATAATAGCTTCCCTGTAGCTGAGCCACAATAACTGATACCCAGATTTAAGGGAGGAGAGGTTTAATTTAGCTCATTGTTTCAGGGGATTCAGTTCATGGTCAACTGAGTCCAAGACAAGCACATCATGGCAGAAGGGTGTTTTGGAGCAAACCTGCCTAGTTCACGGTGGCCAGGAAGTGGAGCAGGAGAACAGTGTTGGAGAGAAGCAGATGAGAGGTCATATGTGGTACCCAAGGTCATGGCTCCATGACCTACCCAGATGTACCTAGGAGTATTTTTTATTAATCACCAGGAGTAACTTAAACCGTGAAATTAGCAAATCAGGATTAGTGATCACACCTTCCTGCAGCCACAGCTTTACCCTTCCCATAATCAGCCATGGTCTGAAAATATTAAATGGAAAATTTCAAGAATAAGCAATTCAAAGTGTAAAATTGTGTGCCATTCTGAGTAGTAGTATAATAAAAGGAATAGTGCTGTCCTGTCCTACACTGCTCAGGGCACGAATCATCCCTTCATCCATCATATCCACATTGTCTACACTACCTCCCCATTAGTTGCTTGTTATCAGATTGTTGGTATTGCAGTGTTTAAGTAACTCTCATTTTACTTAATAATGACTCAAAGCACAAGATTAGTGATGCTGGAGGTTTGTGTATGCCAAAGAGAAGCTATAAAGTGATTCCTTTAAGTGCAAAGATGAAAGTAATCTCCATAGTAAGCGGGGAAAGTGGTTGACTCGAGGTTGGTCAGATCAACAGTGGGAACAAATCTATCCAGGAAATTGTGAGGAAGGACAAAGAAGTTTTTGCTAGTTTTGATGTTGTAACTCTAAAAGTATAGCCACAGTGCATGATAAATGCTTAATTAAGATAGAAAAGGCATTACATTTGTGTATGTATGTATAGGAAAAAACATAGTATATACAAGGCCCTGTGCTAGCTACAGTTTGTTATCTTCTGGAGAATCATGGAATGTATGTTCTGAGAGTAAATGGTACCTCTGCATACAAGAGAGCCTGGAGCATCTTGTAATATCATAAAGTAAGGACATGGTAAAAACAATTAGCCAAGCAAACATAACAGTGGGGAATGTCAAAAGGACACAGAGACCACTGAAAAAATCCCCAAAGGCTAAAGCTGAAACAGTTTGAGCAATGAAATAATTAAGATAGTGTTGGATTATAGCTCAAGTAAAAAAAAAAAAATCTATGAGCCTGTCTGTAGGGGAGGAAAAGATAATCTTTTACCCATCTTATGTTCTCTGACTGGGACCATTCTTGCCAAAGATGCTTAACGAGACAAAAAGCAAATGGAAGTTTATTAATATGTGCATTGTGCATAGACATGGGGGCATCTTGAGACCCAAAGGGGTGCCCAGCACTTGGGCTGCTATTCTATCTGAGGCTAAGCATACGGAAAGGGCTTTGGCATTCTGAACAAAGAAGTAAGTATGGGACTGTGACCAGGAAAAGTGTGATAAACAAGGATTGTTTAGAAGATTTGTTATGCAGATTTAAATTGGGTGGTTTTGCTATTGATAAGACTTGTTGAAAGAGTCCTCCTTTCTCTGGCAGGAGAGGAAGATACCTTCTACAGATGGAAATTACCTTTATCAATATAAATTTCATTTGCAAAAGAAAAACTTGTGCCCTGTTTTTAGAGCTTTTGCTCTAAAACCAGCTGCAATTGCTGGTTCCCAGTGTGCTTTAGCTCAAAATAATGCACACGCCAGAGAGGCATATCTTGGGGTGGCCTATTTCAATACTCTTCAAGTCTATATTGACATAAAGAAGTGATTGTATAAATAAACAGGGGAGAAGAGATAAATCTTCTATGCAGAATTCCCAATACGTGGATAGCCCGATTCTCAAGAGGGTAGAGCATGATTTTCCACTTCTTAGATAAAGTTTGCCATGCATAGAGGCTTCTCCTCAAAGATTATGGTCATAAGGGAAGAGTAATTTTGACAGTGCAG